TGTAGTAATTTATAATTTTTTAGTTATTCAAAAGTATGTATAAAACCTAAAAAAATATATTCTTTTATGTCATCCACATGCAGAATTTTTAAAGGCTTAGCAACCTACATCAAGCAATAACCGAGTACAAAGGTCGTAACAAGAACTAGAAAAGATAATTTGTTTGCTTTACTTCTATGTTCTATGTTTTAGGAAAAATAACTTTAAGAACTTATTTCAAAAAAGCAATAATCTATATACGTATATAATGTATAATAGTTGAAATGTGACTGTATTTTACAAAATACTAGCCTACTAAAACAGCCAAGACAAGTTACTTTGTACAGACCAAAGGTCACCTTTTGTTATTCGATACGGTAACATGAGTGCACGCGAGCCGCGTCGTTGTAACTTCTGTATTGTTAGCCAGGCACGGATGAAAGGTCAATATAATAAATTTATAATGTTATGAGATTTAATCTATTTAGCCTAAACATTTATGTTTTCATGTAATAATATGTTCATTCTAAAATGAAAAAGGCGTAATTTGTTTATTTTCTAATTTATTTATGGCTGTTGCGAGATCGGTCAAATTTACCGAACACGTACAGAGATAAATCACTGAAAATAACAGATAAGATATCAAGTTTTTTCTTAAGAAAAGTATGATAACTATTTGGACATTATACAGATTTCGGATGTGAAATTTCGAAATTTTCTGATGCACAAAAGTATTTTTAATGATAAGATGAAAATTTCTTTGCATCATAGATAGGCAAGATGTGAAAAGAAAAAAAGGCATGAGAGAAACATTGCTTTACAAACCTTAAGACTTAATAAAAGAAAATTAGATATTTTGCGTATGAAAGCATTGTAATGTTTACTGATAAACTGCCAAATTTCGTTAACATTCGCTTAGTAATTTAAAAGTTATAGCATGAGAACTATATAAATTATTTAGTCCACAATACTTGTTACACAAATAATCTTTGGAACGATTTTAAAAATGCATTACAATTTATTTTTCATCAATTAAATGTAATTGCTATAAGATTTAGATACATTTTGGCTAAATATTTCATTATTTTCCACGCCCGACGGTGTGAATATTGTTTCCATTCCTCTCTGTGTGGACATTATAATTTCGTACAATGGTAGGGTGTCTCCGAAGGACCAATTATTGTACAACTTATTCGCTTTACTTTTACATTTTCTGAGACAATATCTTGTACGATTAATAATTATAATTTCGTACAATGGTAGGGTGTCTCCAAAGGACCAATTATTGTACAACTTGTTTGCTTTACTTTTACATTTTCTGAGACGATATCTTGTACGATTAATAAATTCACATATAATGTCATTATTTCATCATTTATAACCCCATTATGTGTATAATTTCAGAAGCAGGTCTGAAAAGTACGCTTTCTGGATTGACACTCAGAAACAATAATTTGACCACAAATGTTGTGATACACAAGACATAGCTCTGTTTACAAATGGACACAAGACACGTGTGCTTCTAGCTTGGATCTCTTTTTGCTTTAATTGTAATTAACGCAGATTAAATGTTGTTATTAAAGATTAAAAAAATCAATAAAAAACATACGTTCAAAATATCGCTAAACGTTGCACTTCGTTTGACTCCAAATAAGTTATATAAAAAAAGGACCCCATGGAAACCATGTGTAAGAATGTTGCCAATCTACTTTTAAACAAATTAGGTAAAGCAAACTAAGAATAGTTCTGTGGAAATCTTTCCAATTGTAGTCAGACCTACATGTTAGAAATGCTTTTCATATATAACTTTAATTATTCAATACAATTGAAGATTGTTGAAGTTTTACAACTATGTAACTATTCTTATTTAACTACTGATTCATTGGAGTGCAACATTCAAGTACGGGGTAAAACCCAATTGTAAGTGAAACAATTAGGCTAAAGAAATGAACAAAAGCATAAATACTGAAATGCTTTTGTACATACACGTGTTATTACCATTATCAGTTGATATTATTTCTGAATAATATTAGCACAACGTTACTAACGTCATTTCGCTTTCTATGACGTTACTGTTATCTAGTAATGACGCATTATCTCTATAAGGTAAGTACGTCACTGTATTTGTTAAGCAAATGTATGATGTTTAAACAAACTCGGTATGTTTGCTATAGAGATAGCTTGGTTGGTAAGCATTCATCATGACATGGAAAAATACTTTCGGCTTATCATCATGAGTTTCGTATTTATCATTGCCATACAGATAGGCAAGATATTTTTATCACAGCGTCTTGGTGAAAGTCTTTATTGTTACATTATTAGTCACAACATAATGTGTAATAATCTGGTATCTGCTTATTGTATACAAATTATTAGCCCACAATAATTGTTATCCAAAATAAATTTAAGCATCATTTAATGTTCTCTGGATCACACACACACACACTAAGTTTTCGAGGAACATGCCTTTAATTATATAACCCTATGTAAAGTAATAATGGGAGCATGCTTTTGCTTTCTTAATTCTATTTTTACTTTTTTTTAAGTTTTAACCACATTGAAACTTGCAAAAGCAATGAATTATTCTAATACTTTGATGAATTGTACAGGAATTAACTAAATTAAAATAAGAATGTTAGTGATTTAAAAAAAGATGTGAAAAATAAATGTATTATTTAGAAAACATACATATCATCGAACCTGCTTCATCAATCCAGACTTCCCAGTTCACGTTTCTTGATGCTTTTTATGAAGTTTAAGATTAATTACAAAATTGTATGTGGACATAATAAGGAGAGATGCACCAAGCCAAACACGCCATTAATATTTTGTCAACAGTGGTTCTCATTGTTATAAAAGTGTATAGTGAAATATATTTTTTGCTTTGCTTAGATTTATTTTCAGAACTAAATATTGTAACGAATTTGTTATGTATTTATTTTAATATGAACGTTGTTTAGATTAAGTTTATATTTAAAAATATGCATAGCTTATAGTGTTAGAGATGTATTGCGAAACTCCCACCTATTCTCCAAAGTTGTACAAGATTCTCGAGAGTAAGAATCAAAAGTATATATGTGTGTACGTAAACGCTTTAATCAGTATTGTTACGTAAGACTGAATTTTCTAGAAAACCTTCCCAGTGTGTGTGGCCAGGAACTAAGCTAGCTAGCTTCCCAGCGGATTGTATCTACAACAACTCGTAATTAACTCGCTCATCGGAAACCCTCGATAAGATATCAAGGGAGTTCCAAACTAGAAAGAAGATTTTATATTGTTTGTAAGTTGTGAAACTTTTGTTTATGAATCATTGTTTGTAATAACTATTTGTAATGATTGTTATTGTAAATTGCACTGTTGTTTGTATATCAAAACATATTTGTGTTAAAAACGAAGACGTTCTGTATCAACCTTGTTGGCAAATATCGTAAATTGAATAAAATATCGGCATATATTTAAATAATAAATCCAAGGTACAGTTTAACTACTAAATTTGAATTATTAGTTAACTCGGCTTCGGACTATTCGAAATTCTAATACGTAACAATATACATATGCATATTATGTAAAATTACTTTTTATTATAGACTTACGTGTCAGAAAAACTGCAACAAACAATATAAAATTATAACGTTTCTAAATGGTATCATTTTAAAGAAGCGAAAGATATAATCAATACGTTAAGTGCGTACTAAATCGATACTTAATAACATAATCTGCGGTACTAACTGTCTGGTTCAATATTTATAAAAACGAAACATTATGTATAATAAAATCCTTTCAGAACAGATAATTGTAAAAGTATGTAATGTAAATTGTTGGCCATTCTATAATATTTGCCTTCTTCAAATAATTTATAAATCAAGACAGCATGTGTGATAAAACTAATATATGTAACAGTATTATAATAGTTGTTTCGTTAAAATAATGGTTTTATTCGTAAGTTTTAGGACATATAATTAAATCTAGACTACAATGTTCTTGACGTAATCACATGTTGAAATACACTACGATGGGTTCATATCCTATTGAATTATCCGTTTATAAAAACACAATCCGCCCTAGCAGCATTACCTCTAGTAACACAATTTGTCATCCGCCTATAAAACCATAGTAACACAATCCATCTACTGACACCATCTGCTTTTGTAAAACATATATAATTCAGTTAACTTTAGAAATGAAAACTATAAACATAACTTAAGACGAGTTGAACTCTGTATGGAGTGCTACGGAAGTATAGTAACACTGTACACCTCTAGAAACACCATCCGCCTTTGTAAATCCTACACAATACGCCTAGTAAATTAGTCCGCCTATACATTCTTAGTAAGACCTTATAATATTAACACTGTCAGCCTATGTAAGGCACACTTAGTATGTAAGTGAAAACTATAAATTACCTATCGCCATGTGTAAAATGAAATATTTTATCAGAAACTCATTTAGCGTTATACACAGTCAAAATCATAGTTATATGGGTAGAGGAATAGAATAAGAATATAGAGGCTCTAATTTATAGAGCCAAATCAGTGAAACATGTTTATAAAGTGAACAGTGAAATTGTATGTTAAACGATTGCATGATATTTAGCGATGTTATCACGAAAAATCCGTCCTTATCAGGGCAGATATTTGTAAAATGTATGCTATACACATAAGGTAAAATACTATTGATTAATCAATCATCCTAAAATATATGATAACATTATCCTTAGTAGCATCATCCGCCTACAGTAATATTATCCTATGAAATATTTTATCAAGAACTCATTTATCGTTATACACAATACATAAAAATATTCAATTAAAAATAATTAATAAACAAGAGGGAATCCTCAATAGCCGCTGCACTTGAAATTCTTTTAGGCAAGATTAGAGTAAATTAATCTATGAGATCTTGGGCGTGGTCAAATCATCAATCAAAAGCATTTGACCTACTGAATCTAAAACTGTAATTAGATCTCAAATCGGTCAAGAGATGATGAAGCTATGAGCTAAAGGTTTGTATTTAAAAGTAACTAAATAAAAAACTCGGAGCTGTTCTATGAGCCGCAATGCCGCGGCTAAAAATAATAGTTTCACTTATAAAATATAGACGTTTTAGTACAGCAGTATGCAATCCATCGACCTTGTGTCCCTAACAACACGCCTTCTGGTTCCACTTAATGGAACTATGAACCCTAGTAACTCGCCCTCTAGTGCCACTTCGTGGACGTCATGGTCTTTGGTGCGTGGAGCTATGGCATTATCGTATTTACCCACTCCCCTATTACTAAGGCAGCCAATCAGCTTACTCCTATTCCATATTGCTGAATAAAGTGGCCTTAACCATTTGTTACCAGTGATTGTATATTCCCAACAACCTGTGAATATTGGGAAGTTTTGTGAAATATCAAAATCTTTTGATGTGAGTGATTTATTGTATATTGAAGAACGGCCTTACAAATCACATATGATTGGATTAATGTAAAAAAACCATATCAAAGTACACCCATTTCGTCACTGGGAATACTAATAGCAGGTGTAACCAGGGCCGGATTAAGGAGAAATGCAAAGTGAGTGCACCCAACTATGAGAAAAAATATATAAGAACACTAAAAGACTGGATGACTCATTGAAAAACACATTTTGTAACTTCTTATGAAATATAGTGTACCGTACCATCGATTGAAATTGAGAGAGCGTGATAGCAACCGGCCTTTGGGCAGTCTCTAAGAAATTAGAAGATTGCACTACCCTGAACCATTAGAAAATTATTGGTTTAACAGCTGCTTTTCAAAGTTCAGTTGGTTGGCGGATACTGCATGACCCCTTATTATTGTGAAACGAAATAATCAGATATACGGGAAACATGTGCAAGGTCATAATGAAAGGTACCAGTTCGGCATGAATTTGAGAAAGAAATAGGTCAACAACAACAAAAAAGACCAGGAAATGTGAGAGAGAATAAATAAATTGAGAGGGGCGAAGGAAGAAACAAACCTTATTTCTAAATCTATGTGTTATCGATTACCAGCAATAAACGAAAATCGTTATATTTACATTGGTATGAGTCAATTTCTCATAGGAATATGTAAAACCTAAATAAAGTTGAACATAAGAATGGAAAGCGAAGTGCAAGTACAACACGATCGTAACTATGCCTCGTCATCTAATTAGTGACGCGCATGAATTGATTAACGAGATTCCCACTGTCCCTATGTACTATCTAGCGAAACCACAGCCAAGGAAACGGGCTTTCTCGGTATTTAACAGGAAAATTCACTGTCATTACTTTATACATATTATAAATACTAGAATTAGAATTTTGTAAATTATCTACCCATAGCTTATGTTTGTGTATTTGTCAAACTGTAGTTCTAAATAGTATTGAGTTGTATTTGATTTACTTATGATGCTAAGTACCGAGGATCCCCTTTAACATTTGCCTCTGTTGTAAGTTTGTGGATAAGATGAAAATCTGTAATCACATTGCTTTTCTTTCTTTGCGCATTAATAAAAGTTTAAAACAAAACAATGGAACTATGTGCATTTAAGTAAAGAATAACAAGCATCCATGTGACTAAGCGATAAACACGAGAGTTTACAGAGTTTAAATTCAGAATTCAATCCCTGCAGAGAACTCGGTTTAATGTGTAGTTTTGCGTAAATCAACATTTTTATATATGAAGTGGGCAATTATTTTAATGCTGCATTTCGCTTCTACCAATAAAATTTTGACTATTTTTTTAATTGTTTTGGTTTGAATATATATCAATTTCAATTTTAATGTGCTGTTGCGTCTAAAGTTCGTAAGAGTGGCTTCCTTTTACATTAAAAATTACTTAAAATTCATGGCTAGTTTTATTTGAAAAGGATTAACAAGTAAGAAAAGAATAAAATAGAAGAAAATTATTTTCTCTTCAGTACTTTTCTAAAGATGACAATCAGTGTTATATAAGAGATATATTATTTATTAGGTTTGAATTCAGCGTCATTGACCTATGTTCATGTCTGTATTCCGATAACTATGTCTTTTTCAAATATAAATTTAACTAAAATACAAATGATCGTGGATTAACAAATATATCATACTAATATAACAGGATTGTTATATGGCATAACAGATCTATGAGTAATTCTTACATACACTATTTTGTTTGAATTACGAAAATGTGAGTAAATTTGGATATTAACACAAAGATGCACAAAGGCTATATGTAGTACCCGTCTTTAATGTTGGACTGACAGACTAGAAGGACGACAGCACCCGTCGTTAATGTTGAACTGACAGACTAGAAGGACGACAGCACCCGTCCTTGATGTTGGACTGACAGACTAGAAGGACGACAACACCCGTCCTTGATGTTGGACTGACAGACTAGAAGGACGACAGCTAGAAAACGGTATCTACTACTCTTTTGTAACCGAAAAGTGGGATTTGAGCGATAGTTTTATAGTATATCCACGGCTCCAAAGTCAATTGCAGCGACATGGACTTTAACAACGCATTGAAGCTCCTAATTCGTTTTAATACAACGTATTCAACCTCTGTATAAAATGCACACATAATCAACCCTTTTTCAAAATAACACAAATACAACTACACCTGGTTAAAGCTGCCCATCTAAGAAAAGAATAATAATTAAAGCACGTATTTTCATGTGAATGATAAAACGCTACCACAGAAGGAGAGGAGGGATTGAACTTCCTGAAAATCAGGTTATGCAAGCGCACGTGAATACAGAAACAATATACGATTGGGAAACTTAGCCTATGACTACAGTCTCAAATCGCAGATGTCGTTACTGCCATATCAGATTTGTGGAGATAAACTAAAGTCTAGAATATACATGAATGTGTATATATTAAAGTAAAAAATCATAGGTTGGGAGGTTTGATATCACGTTCATCAAACCATTCTTGATATACTAAATCTATTCATCAATGTAACAACATTTGAAATAACACGGAAACTTCTCCAGCGGTTTTAAAAAGGAGATAAAACTTTTAAAGATTACATCAAACTGGCAATATCTATAATGGCAGAACTCATATGTTTATGTATCAACGTAAATAATTTACAACGGGAAGAAAAATACTATTCACAACATGATTGTCAAGCTATTTTCTCACCCCTATCACTAACACTTTACATGGAACATTTCGAAGGTAACGTCTACAAAATAGTCGGTTTATCAATAGGGATTTCTCTAAGATATGTTGAAGTTACATTCAGTATATGGCCACACAATACAAACAAGATTTCTAACAGACAACATCCAGATACAATTCACGATGAAAGTAGTCAAAAGATAAAGATTTCCACTTTTAGACGAAATGGTCACCAAGTACATACCACTGAAGTTCACAGAAAACAAACAGATAATTGTAAAAACTGACTTGAGATCAAAACACCCCAACAGTATAAAGATGAGACTGTCTAGCCTCCAGGTAAAACGGTAATTATAATACACAATATGCTAAAATAATTAAAGAAAAACACACTACTGCAACCTTCCTAATTAACAGATACCCTGAATACTTGATAAATATTTGATGAATTAACAAAATAATGAGAAACATAAAAAATAGGGCACGTGTACCACTGAAACAATATAATTATATGCATACAACACAAAGTCAGGATCTCCAATATTGTAGAACCACAATTAGTACGCATTGAAGTCCAATAGAGAGCAAAATACCATATAGAACATCACTTGTGAATAAAGAATCCAATATACCGAAGAAATAAATAGACCAAAAGTCAGAATTCAAGAGTACAATAGACATACAAGACTCTACAATACCGACCTTTCTGCGTTACCATCATCAGAAAGAATACGACATATAATAACATAAAATAATACGAAAATAATGATATATGAACCACACGCGAGGAAAAGAATGATAAAAGAAGCTTTTTACATCCAAACTTTTAACAAACTCAGCCAATTTAGTATAGAAGCCAGAAAATCCAGGAAATTCCCTCTTGAAGCCATTTAAGCCGATAATTGTTTTGCAATCCCGATTAGGTGAGAGTACAAAAGAAAAGAACTACTTTTCTAATAAGGAAACCCAGGATCGAAACCCTGTTTTTGCTATTGCAAACAATACATCTTTAGGACTTTTCTGAGGATGGCAGCAGAAAGACGTTATAAGCTAATTTATATCTAACATATATTAACAAAGTGTAGCAAGAGATTCGTAATTAGCTACGAAATTATATATTATTCTTCAAGATGTTGAAGTGTTCATAATATTAAATTGAACAACACAACAACTTCATGTTTCTATCAGAGTAAAGATATAGCCCATCGTTCAAGAGTCATTTTACTCTTGTTGAACTTTCGCAGATATTAGACTGGAGGAAGTTGTCAATTACAGACGTTATATTTTTGTTGTGCAACAGCTAGAGCTCTATTACAAGCCCCCTCTGGTTGCTTAACGGAAAATCCGTTGGCTTATTATGCTAAAAATCGGGTTTTGATACCCGCTTTGGGCACAGCACAGATAGGCCATTTGTGTAGCTTTGCGCTTAACAATATAGTAACAGTTACTAAGCGACAAAACAGCAGGTCTTCCATTGAAATGGCTCAATATTTACAATTGATTTAATTTCTGTTAACCTGAATTTTAGTCATCTTTTAAAAGACCACTATTTATTATTACCAACAAAACGTTAGCCTTCTGTTTTTATAGTTATCGCTTTCGAATACTGTTCATATTTCTTTATGTAGTATAACTATATCAAATCTCTGTATTTAGGGACAATATATGCTAATTTTCTTCTTCTTCCTTTAAAATTCAATTGTGATACGTGACGTAACTTAAGAGAAAACAAAAAGATATCATGAACCCTGATAGTGGTTCATAATAGAGATCTCACAGGAATATCACAAATTGTTTGTTTGTTTGTAATTAACCACAGAGCTACACAATGGGCTATCTGTGCTCTGCCCACCATGGGTATCGAAACCCGGATTCTAGCGTTGTAAGTCCGCAGACATACCGCTGTACCATTGGGGGGGAATATCACAAAAGTGCTAATAGAACACAGGTAAAAACCATCTTAAAAAGCAGATCTGTTATTGAAACAATACTTAAGACCTTAGTAGATTTTTGAATATTTGTGAGTAGTGATTTATTCTACCGACTTTCGTACTTCGCTGAAATTGCGAGTGCGTATTTTAGTATTATTTTATTATTATTATTCATATTTTTGTTTCACAAGACTAGAAAAATCGGCTAGGCACTTGCACCAAACGCTAAACAGATATACTATACTATATGAAATGCTGCGAATATCCATGTAACGAATTTGTTGTTATATATTTATTTTAATGTCAACGTTTGTTTGGATTGAGTCTATATTTAAAAAACATGCCTAGCTTATAGTGTTAGGTATGTATTGCGAAACTTCCGCATATTCTCCAAAGTTGTAGAAGATTCTCGAGAGTAAAAATCAAAATTATATGTGTGTACGTAAACGCTTTAATCAGTATTGTTACATAAGACTGAATTTTCTAAAAAAACCTTCACACGTCTATAAATATAACCAACGCGACGCGCCAAGGTAGTGTCTATTAGTTCGCTATAATCAATGTGCTTTAAACTTCGTAAGCTATAACTGTGATTTTTATAGCGCTTATCAATCAGAAAACTTCAGATATTTGACCAGAAATATTTATAAATTTCGAACATTACAAACTATTTAACTTCAGTGGATTCACATCGGACATTAGTATTTTTACAAAGACATTATATAAATTCAACGGTGAAAAACTCAGCGTGTGTTGCAAAGGACAAAGCTAGCTAGCTTCCCGTTAAGTGAAATATATCTCCGTCAACTCGTAATCAACTCGCTCAACGTGAACCCTCGATAAGATATCAAGGAAGTTCCAGACTAGAAAGAAGACTTTATATTGTTTGTAAGTTTGTGAAACTTTTGTTTATAAATCTTTGTTTGTAGTAACTATTTGTAATAATTGTTATTGTAAATTGTACTATTGTGTGTATATTAAAACGTATTTGTGTTAAAAACGAAAACGGTGTGTGTCAATCTTGTTGCGAAATATCATAAACCGACTATTCGATGACGAGGAACCCACTTTGAGACTAATAATGGTTGGAGACGGCTTGAATGGGTAATGAAGAAAAACTTTAATATAAGTTTAACATAACAGACAAA